GGCGAGTTCGCCCCCTGCGGTAAAAAAAATTCGCCCTCAAAATCTTTTAACTCGTTTCCTTGCGAGATATCGTATTCTGTTGAAATTATAATATATATTGCTCAACATGAAATTTCACAGCAAAACTAAGGCGTGACTATTGTACCAGTGACGCAAAGGTGCTCCATTACTCTGGTCTTTCTCTAACAGGTTTGACACTATTTCATACTAGTGTTCGTACAGAGTAAATTTCAAGGACAACTTCTGTGAACAAACTAGACTAAAGCGGCTATATTAGGGGCCAACACATAATCTGAAGCAATGACCACTATACGTATTTCGTACTTGGATAATTGCATTCGTTTGTCAGTGTGACCAGCTTTTCATAAGGATTTAATTAACGTACTTTCGAACTGAAGCGTTTGCCTCAGAAAAAAATAAAAGCTCTTAGGAAACGAATGGAAAGATTTAGGGGGTGAACACTCTTTGCCTCAGGGGGCAAACTCACCACGGGACAAAACCAAGATAAACCTGTCGTCAGAGTAACCGATACCTTCGACTTCTCTTCCCAGCTCACTGAAGCCAGTTTCAAATATTTTCCCATCGTCCGCGTGGTAACCGACTGTTCCATCATACCAGCCAGGCATGGAGTGACAGTCGTAAGACTCACCCACAACACCCAATCCTATAATACGTTTCTCGCCAGTCTCCTGAATAAGTACCTGCAAAACAATGGTAATCCAGTCGCTTTTCACTCACGGACGTTTCGCACTCAGTCGATTCGAACCCAATTTCTGACGACTCGTACCCAGTTTGTGTCGGTTCGCTCCCCACCCGCTGATCGATTCGTACCCCTCCCAAAATTCAGTAATGATCAAAACCTAGGAGACATTACGAAATACCTGACGCGTCAGCGCGCGAGTTATGTCGATTCTTGCCTAAGACAAGTTAGTAAAGATTCCAGCTACTAAAATATAAGGAAAGCTAAGTGTAGACGTGTGTCTTTCTCACTAATAACAAATAATTAGCGCCTCGCACAGTGAGTGTGATTATGCTCCTCTGCTATTAATAGTAAAAATATAGTTTATCATAAAAAAAGAAAAATACAAACAATATTTACACTCAAATGACCACAATTTCGATCCTTTTCTAGAAAGGGTCTATCTGTGAAAGAATTTGGATATATCAACAAAGTTGAAGTGGTAAATTGGCCACCGTAACGATTACAAAAGCTGACGTTTCGAGCGTTAGCCCTTCGTCGGAGCGAATAGAGGAATTGTGGGTTGTGTGTGCTTTTAAAGGCAGAGAATGGAGCTACGTTATTGGTGGGAACATGGCAACGAGAAAAACAAGAATAAATTAGTGGAATGAAAAGCGTTCGTTGATCCCTGTGGGATTTAGACTGCCGGTTTGAAAGATGAGCTTTTGTTCAAGATTTTTACGGCTTTCCGTGCTACCTAAGTGTAAGGAAAGACCGCAGATTGCCATATGTTGCTTAGAATGATTAGGTAAATTAAAATGTCTAGCGACTGGTTTCGATGTGTCCTTGTCATTCCTTTCCACGTCTCGAAGGTGTTCTCGGAATCGGTCACCTAGTCTTCTGCCTGTTTCGCCGATGTATATCTTTTTGCAATAAGTGCAAGTTATGCAATAGATTACATTGGCGGAGGTGCACGTGAAGTGATCGGTGATCTTAATGGATCGTTTAGGTCCCGATATTTTATCAGTGTTGTGAATGAAAGGACACGTTTTGCATCGTGCACGAGCGCATTTAAAAGTGCCTGGTTGGTCATTAGTCTGAAAAGAACTTCTGACCAAAAAATTGCCTATGTTTTTGTCGCGTTTGAATGAAATGAGCGGAGGCTGCGAAAAGATAGTGCTTGTCTCTGGATCGTTTTGAAGTAATTTAAAGTTTTTAAGAATGATGGATTTAACTGAGTGGTTGTGAGGGTGAAACGTGAGAGTGAATGGAATGCGGTCGGAATCTTCCTTATGCGACGTTTGTAGTGCTGAATGTCGATCAATAAGTTGGGCGCGGTGGTAACCCGCTTGAACGACAGAAACAGGGTAACCACGTTTATCGAAAAACTGGCACATTGACTCTGATTTGTGGTGGAAATCAGAGTCATCACTACATAAACGACGAAGTCTTAGAAACTGAGAAAAAGGAATGGAATTCTTAACGTGAGATGGATGCGAAGACGAATATAACAAGTAATTATGCGAGTCTGTAGGTTTGTAATACACACTAGTGCATAAACCGTTACCTTCAATTGAAACTTTGATGTCTAAAAAGGATAAAGAATTGTCAGAAATTTCCCA